CCTCCCTCACAATTTGATAACGGCTGCTAGTTTAAACGGCTTTTTTAAAAATCGTAAGAAGTAGGCCAATCAATGTGTATTAGCCATGACAGCTAAAAGTTGAAATTTTGTATTCAGTTGCTACTGGCCTCTCATTACCAGATGCTGAGAACTAATAAGGCAGGATCATGCTCTCTGCAGGTGGGCTTCCTAGACCATCTGGCTGCCTGTTGCTAGAGGCAGCATTGGACTAGATGGTCCAGTGGTCTGATCCAGTTAGGCAATGCTTTGTTCTTATGGAAAATAGTATAATGTTTGTGGTGTTGATATAAAGGTTCTGAACTTGTTCAAAAACTCTCAGGCAAAACTCTCTACCATGCACAGAATCGCTCCACTTTCTGATTATGTCAACACTGCACAGAAGACAATGCCATTGGCTGTCTCTTACAAGCATTATAAGAAAGCATAATTGTACTTCTGAGATTGTCACTAGGGATGAGGAAAAATTGAGTATGTTCACATTTAAAGACAAATCTACCTAACCTTCCGAAACAATACTTGAAGCAAAACACAACCATTCTTTGAAGTTCGCGCTTATCTGAATTTTGCAATGCAGATCTCTAGCCCAAGTAATGTGTTAAAAAATGCATATATTTGTGAAAATGACACACAAAATACAATAAGTTGCTTTGGGAAAATGTGCCTTTTAGGAGGGGTATAAACTTTATTACAGTCGCAGACCAGCATAATTCTTTTTAGAATAACTTTGCACTAAAATGCTAAAGAGGTCTAAAAAAAATCATGAACAGGTGTGGAAATATGGGGAACTGAACTGAAGAATGGGAAAGTGAGAAACGGAGGAAAAACTGAAATTGAGAGATTTGCATATGCACAGTTGTTACTGAAGTGCAACTTAGAAGTATGTGGAAACAAAGGATACCTGAAGGAACTAGGCTCCTATTTGCTTTAGTAAGCATGTGGTTCTGGTGGGCAGACCTTAAAATGACTTCATCAAAACATTCTTTGCAGTGCAAGAAATTCCTGACAAGATCTAGGTCATGCTGTCTTCATCTCAAAGCTGTTCTGTGAGTTGTACTCAAACTGATTTATCCACTGATAAACAGCAACATTTGTAATTCTGGCTTGAAGTCAAATGAAACATACTACCTTAACACGTTGCAGCCTGCATCTGATTAGATGCTGATGCAAATGTTGGATTCCATGCTTCATTCTCAATTCCACATCTGACATTTCTGGGATAGCAGTAATACCGGTTCCAGATAGGAGGGGGAAAAAACCTGAGTTAGAAAAACCCAGAGGACTTAATAGAAGTGGTTTGCCAACATCAATTCAGCTTTTGTAGAATTGGCTTCAGGTGTGGGGTGGTCATGCGGCTTTGTTTCTCGAAATTGTTCCCTCCACCCAATATTTGTGCATGTTTTACACAGAGACATTAGCCACAGTACATTGCACAATTGCTTGCATTTAAACTCCCATTAAAAGAAGTGGTATTAAGATCACCTACTTCTGTGCTGAATGCAGGCTCTGCTTTGCAATCTATTATTGGGCAAGCATACAGTGTGAAGAGGCTTGAATTTGTCTTTGATACTCAGGTATCATGGTCAAATGCATATAAGAGCAAGCAGTTTCATAAACCTTAATAAATAAAAGTCCTAGCGAACCAAACTGTACCTTTGCTTTGTACCCTTTCTGTGTTATGTATGGCATATGGCCAACACCACCAGAGGAAAAGACACAGAAAACCCAGATCATCCAATAAATAGCTATTGTGATACCCTATTCAGCATTAGTTCAGGTGCAGAGTGCCACATTCTTTTGTAAAAAAAAAAAAATTGCATTGTGAAAATAATATAAAAACCAAAAAGAATTGAGTGAAAATAGAGGATGACATGGAAAAGATAGTTTAAGGTGCTTTGACCATATAAACCAAAATATACTGGACCACCAAATAGGATGCAGAAGTCTAAAAAAAACACAAAAAACACTTCTGAAAAAAACACTGCTGACCAAATGTTCCCATATTTATCTTCTTCGTGCTCATGTTTATACATGGCCAGTTCAGATGAGGATAGGGAGTGCAAATCATTAATCCATCATTGTATACAGGGCAATGACGTCGTCGTCCAGTGTTAAAATGCAATGTGTTTGGCTAAGTGTACCTATAGGTCATGAACCCACGGTAAATTCCAAATAGTGGGGTTATAGTTCAACAAAACATGCATATCTTTGATATATAGCAAGCCTTTCAGGAAAGCTAAATTAATCATTACCAGGAAAACATCACCCCCAAAATGGCTTGCAACTGGACAATTCCACATTATGTTGATAAGGAACCCAGTTTCCACCTCATATCACCAAAACCTCAGAGAGGGAGACAACATTGTATAGTGGAGACTATAAGGTATCCACTAACTCTAGTGCACAAGTTTTTGTCAAGGGAGGATCTTTTGATAGTAGTGCTTTGGAACACTCCCTTTCTTTTCGTCATGGAAATAGGATATGTCCACCTGAAATCTTCAAAAGCTTGTTAACCCACCCAGGTCTTCTAGGTGCTCTGAGAGTGCAGATAGTCCAAAACAGACTGAAGGACGTGTTTAAGTAGGAAAACTTCATGGATTTGTAATGTATGAGGCTAGAATTCTTCCTCCTGTCCAAAAGTTGGCCTGAAGTCATAGCCCCGCAGTTTTGTAAACTTGTACATCATTATCAGGAGCCTGAGATGCTTTCAGGGTGGACACAGCAGGTTAGCCACTGGTCAAATCAAGTTTGACTTGGACTAAGTAATGTGGACAAGCCCACAGTTCCAGTTTGTACCTTGAGACACCTCTGCTCACCATTGTTTGCAAGCTTGTCGCCTTATGCCCAGGTGCAGCAGTAACCGGGTACTGCATCCCATACTTGTTGGCTCTCAAGAGAAAAGCTACGTTCTTGCTGCTTGCCAGCAAGTTGGCTTCATTCTTGAGGATTGACTGACAGTGCAATGAAACTGTTGCTGTATGTTTAGACACCTGGATCTCGTCCTCACAGGGCTGGGAATTTGGAACTGAGGTCTGCGGAGTCTGTGCTGCCTCCAAAACTCACTCCCCCAATCTTTCCCCAAATTCTTGCCTGCTTTCTTGCATTAATTCCACCAGAGGAAAGTGCGTGTCCAGGCTTCACGGCAGAAGCAAGTGTCCCATTGGATGGGCTGTAGTAGACTTTCATCTGCCCAGAGCAGCATGCAAAATGATGAGTCTCTCACACCTACTTATGAAGTACTAAACCTTCAGAGTACAGAGAAATAGTTAAAACCGGCAAGCACCATTTGCTCTAAATGTTGCCTCCTGCAGGCTTGGCTAGATCTTCTAGCTATGCTTGCATTCTGCTGTCTACTTGTCATAAAACTCCACCCAATTAATTTGCTTGGATATTCCAGTTCCCCTCCCCCCCTTCACCTTACAGTGGAACTGAACTGTTGCCTTGGCAGCTTGAAGCTCTCTCTGAAAACACTTGGCTCGCAGCCTCCCAGCTCAACAACCCCAGCAAAAAAAATATTAGGATGGATTCCTGATAGGAGATAGCAGATGTAAAAATGTGGCAGATGATGAGATTTTCTTAGAGCACAGGTGGTTGCCTTTCTTACTGAAGATATATGATGGCTGGCTGAGATATTTAAAAGCGAGCGTCAGCCAATGCTAGCAAAAATAAACATTAGGTATTGAGGGCGAGGGTCCCTAGCGCAGCAGGGGGGCAAAGGGGATTCTATCTTGCATCTCTTATTGGTAACAGGTTTTATTAGCTGTTCGAGGTTCAGCGTTTCCAAGGATGTAGATTGCAAGAAGCCTCCTAAGGGCTTCTCTAGATGTCATTTTTAATGTGCATTCATGATGGATCTGTGCAAATACTAGTATTGGGATGGTTATACGTGATCCTTTTTTCCACAGTTTGTGCCTGGAAAAGTTTTGGAGTGGACATATTGCTTTGTAATTGGGCGTATGTCCTGTGGTTTCCTGCTGAATTACTGATACTTTCCATAATGCTCGTAACTTTCCATAATGTTCAAGAGTTGTGGTTGTTTTGTCCCACTTTTGTTGTGCTTTATAGTGCCCCTCCCAAAGGCAATAATTCAGTACAGCAAAGTAAAAAAAAAAAAAAAGTGGAATGTCCAGTATAAATCCACCACTGATTAATTCACCAGTGACGTTGCAGAATACACATTAAAAAAAAAAATCCATTTGGAGAGGCCCTAAAACAGCTTAAAAGGATATAATTGGGATTCTAAGCTCTGGTGTACTGTGGGCCTTGTTCACTCAGGCTGGAAATGAAATGGCTTAAGAACACCGGCATTTAAGAGCAAAGAAGTATCACGGGAAGTGTACGTGCATTTCAGAAGCTGAACAGAGGTTGAAGTGATGGTGCAAAGTGAAGGAGCGGAAGCTAGGCAGGTATACTCAATGAAGGCGCCATATTGGAGACATGGGAGCTCTAATAAGCTTAGAAGAGTCTGCTGGCCCACCTACTCCAGCATTCTGTCCTCCCAGTGGCCAATCAGATGCCTGTGGGAAGCCCACAAGGGGAAAATGAGTAAACATTTATATGAGCAATCAATGGCATTTTAGCATTTATTCTTTGTGCCCATGCTCTTTCTTTTCAACCATGTGAAAGTGTACACTATATTCTTCACCCATGTGGTGTTCCCAGCCTGCACTTCAAAATGGCTCTCAATTGCCCTCACTGACACAACCCAGTGCCATCAACAAAGAGAATGAGCACGTGCCAGTAAATCCTGTTCTAACCTGGGTTTGCATTCCCAAAGGCCCCAGTCTTTAGAGTGTGGTAAAGACTTGAATTATCATTTGCAGAATGTCCCTGAGTTACTCCCCTTCGGTTAACGAGATCCCTGGTCTATTTATCAAATATTAACTGGGTAAAAGCACTGTTGTTGTTTACAAAAGAGCAACAACCAAACACCTCTGCAGCTCTTGATATAACTGGGTAGGTACAAATGCTCTCAATCATGCCATACTCAAAAAAACATATCTTTATTATTAGTGTTCATATACATATTATTTTTCTTTTTCTCTCAAAAGTATCTAAGTTGTACACATTCTCCTCGCTGTAAATACAGGCATTTCAAGTGTGTATGTATGTCGAGTGTCTAGTACTGTGTGAGTTGGAGCACAAATGAAACGAGCAGAAACAGTGGCACAGGAATTACTTGGAAAAATAAGTTATCTTGGTAAGATAATGTCATCAAAGTGGTAAGGTGACTGATATAAAAAGAGCAGGCTCATTATAAAACGTTGTGCCAGACATGTTATGGGAAGGCTGGTTGTCATGCCACGTCCGGTGCATATGATGGCGGTTATATACATTAGTTACACACAACTATTGCTCTGTCATAAAGGAACTAAGTTCTCAAAGAGGGGGAAACTCCGTTGGTCCCCAGCACAGCAGTCTGGAAGCTGATACAAGTTCGGGAGAACTTTGCTCTCCAGAAACTGCATGCATCAAACAAGTTAAAATTGTAGATGCTTCTGGTGAACTCTAGTTTGTGATTTTAAGGTAGGGCAGGCCTGTGCAATTTGTCACCTGCCAAGCTGAATAACAGCTCACTCACCAATGTCTGAAACTCTGTAAGACTCCCACTTCTGCTGCATGTCTAGGATTCTAAAAGCAGAAGACTTTGCAGGCTACAGGCGAGGTTGTAGTCAGTTTGGTGGGTCACAAGTTGTGCAGGCCTGAGGTAGGGCAGCCCCAAGGAGCTTCAGCTGGTTTAACGTTGATTAGCAAGGCAGGCTCCTGAAGATCACCACTACAATCTATCTCTTTTTTCTCAGGGCAGGTGCAAGAGGCCACAGCTATGGCCATAATGCAGCCTGTGGCTCTGCCCTTGTTTTCCTGCAACAATCCAAACGCTGCCCCTGGCTGCCAGCTGTGGTTGCTCAGCAAGTTACTTTCTTTAGAACACTGCAGAAGTCCAACTTCCCAGCATGAGCAAGCTTAGACTTGACAGGTTTAACTACAGCAGAAATGATTTTTTGTTTTAGAGCCTTCACTGGTGTTGATCCAGCACAATTCAGTTTACGAACTGTTGTTTATTCTATCCCAGCAGGAATATAAGTCTTTTTTCGAATTCCCCAACATCTAGCAAATGAGTATTATTTAAATTGCCCCTCCCTCTTTTTGAAAGCAATACTTAAGTAGTTAGTTCTATTCTTTTAAAAGCTCCATGGCAGACGGAAGCTCAATAGGCCTATGCGAAGGTGGCCAGCTTCTATTTGCTCTTAAAGGAACATAACCTCCCTAACTCACTCTCCGGGTTGCATTTCCCCAAATGCATAGTCCTTAGCAAAATGAACGAACAGTAGCTATCACTTTCCCAATAACAGTAGCTATCGCTTTCCCATTCAGTGTGGTTTTTCAAACCTATGCATGACTTTGAGAGTTGAATATGGTTTCCAATCCATTTGTCTCCAACCTGTGATCCTGAAGATCACAGCTACTCCTGCCAGTCCCAGCTACCACTGGCAATGGTCAGGGGGATGGGGACTATAGTTCAAAACATCTGGAGGGCACCAGGTTGGGGAAGTCTGTTCTAACTCTTCTTTATCTATTGCTTCAAAGCTCAGGAGTTACAGCAGGCTTTCTCTGGATAAATTTATTCAAAGGCACTGAACTTAGAACCTCTTTTGGGCATGTATACAATAGAGGCCAGCACAGCAGTGCTCATGTGTGTAGGAGTTAAATGCAAAAAAGCACTTCTCCTCCAAGGCAGCCAGCATTGACCTAGATTTCTCACACTGTGGCTAAACTCCCAGTTGATCTGAATAGGTGAAGAATTAAGCTAACATGCACATCTTTGGAATACTCTCCACCTTGATTGCCGTTTTAATGTGCAATATGCATTTTGAGTGCTTCTACTTCTGTGCCAACTGCTGCTTATCCATGCAGCTTACCTGATTTTTTTTTAAGGCTTATAAATGCAAGGGCATTCACCTTAGCTAGTCACCACCCTTGCAATATTGCCTGTTCCCTCAGCTAGTGGAACAGGAAAAGAAGCCTATTATGAAGCCAGAAGAACAATAGTGTATCTAATTCACTGGGCTTTTGCTGCTGAAATAATTCCCACCACCCATATGCAACGGCAAGCATGCTGTTCTCCCATAGCCCAGTCTCCATTTTAGTAACTCACAGGCCACAACTACAGCTGCACTGGTTCAGTCAGCTGAGCTCTTATGGTAGGGCAAGTCCTCTGTGATGTGAAATGACTCATAAAATCTGCAACCAATAATTAATCCAGGGCCTATCAAAGGAAATTTTAAGCACCCTGATATGGTCACAATTAATTCTATAACAAAAGGGGGCCTTTTTTAAAAATCTGGATGAACTGCTAGGAGTTGCAAAAGTCTGTGCAAACCAGGCGACTGTTACTCCTACAGTGCTTCTCTTGCTGAGGTCTTGTGATGTGTTAAGCTTCTGCCACTCACACCCTTATTAGAGAACAGATCAGAGCTAATTAAAGTTAGATTCGGGGGCTGTTTGTTATTACACAAAGTTCTCTTTCACAGTTCCCAAAAGGAACTGGCTTTGGAGGTGGGAAGTGAAACTGTCATAATCTGGGCGGTTTTGCAATACAGACTACTGGTCCAGCTGAAAAATCTCGACAGTGGGGAATGCTGTGTTGTTTGCCCCCAGTGCAAAGCTGAAAGGCCAGCAGGTGAAGAGAGTTCAAACTCCTGCTGGGCATCTATTATATAAAGTCCTACCCACTATCCACACACCTCTAGAGCAGAAATGCATGGAAAAAGCAGGACTGGCACTCTTGTAGAAAGATCATGGTAGGCACCCAATGGAAAACTTTTAAACTGATTCTCTTTCCAAGTCACTTTAACAGGAGACTAGCTCAGCAGTGCTAACTGGGTTATTCTAGAGGGGGAAATAGTAGTAAATAGAAGAATTCTGCTGCAAAGCAAAGTTGGCAGGCACCTCATAATCCTCACATTGGTTAGGGTGGAGGGGGGGCACTTTTACACAGACTTTCAACAAACATGCCAATTTTGGGCTGCCTGAAAACACTGCTTGATAGCTAGGTGGCATGTTTTTTGCTAGCCATGGGCTGCTCCTTCATATTTTCCTGGTGCAGATGTGTCTGGGCTGGCCAAGCAGCTAGTCTCAGTGAAAGCTAATACCCCAAAGTTGTTGCGATTAAGAGATTCCACATAACTATCTTGCTCTCAAGTCCCCTCCCTCAGAGATGCGTACCATAAACAGCCCATTTTATCCATTTCCTCACCCCTCCTCAATATCTTCCTCATATGCAACAAGCACTTTCACCCAACGGGTGGCTCTCTTCAATTCTTAGCACTGCCCATTTTCCCTTCCTCAAGTAAGTATTGCCAAAAAATGCTAGCCCTAGTACTCTGCTAGTCAAGCTTCCAGGGCCCCCACGTACCACGGACTCTTGAGAATCCAGTAACTTTTACAATCGCCTCCTGTCCCCGACTCTTCCATTACTTTGGCTTCTTTCTTTCACTCCTTCCCCTTATTTCCTTCCAACCATGGATAGAATAAAAGAATAGGGAGACAAACACTACCCTACCCCAAAGGCAAGTTGTTTCTGTCTGGTCCATCCTAATTAAAAGGAGGAATGGGAGTGTGAGAACTGTGGAAAAGCAACGGGTGGCTACTCCCTGGTTTTCAAGTGGCAATTGCATTCATATTGCAACATGGCAGAGTTAAACTTGTGCTGCCTGGAAATCCTCTAAAGGGACACACGTTGCAGAAGTGACATCCCCTGCCTTCATTCTATACTCTGTTCCTCCTCCTCCTCCTCTAGATACCTCTGAATGACCTATAGAGACATTATATATTATATTTAATATTTTTCTTTAAATATAACTTTTGACTTTACATCTTAAGTTATCAGTTAACACAAATAACAAGAAAAGCAGCCCCTACACATATTTACAGAATACAGTTCTTGCACAGAAGAAGGATTTGGTTTCTGGAAGCAGAAGTAACATCAGCAGCATCTCTTTTGTGTGCTTAAGAGTCTACGCCTTAAGGCTTGTAGACTTCTATGTTAGTCCTGTTCCTCAGTGGCGTCATTTTGGGGGCTGATCACTAAACAGCGCTACATCTAGAGTGCGGCTTGCGCTGTTCCTGTGGTCTGCTGGACTCCTCCTTATTCTCGAAGCCCTGAGGGCTGAGAGGCCCTTTCGGCCTGGCCTGACCCTAAATCTAAACACAGTCATGGCCTGAATTCACACAGGAAGAGACTCCGCCAGCAGCCTAACTTCCTTCCTAGCTCCATCTCCATCTGATAAACGACGTTTCCCTTTGGGTCTGTCTTGTAGCCTTGGAAGTAGAGGAGGGAGGAATTGTCACCTGGCAAGAGTAGAAACTGAATGACAATTATTTTTTAAAACATTCCGAAGATTATTGCAATATTAAAAAAATGGAAAAAAATACCTCAGCACCTCAGGAACTCCCTGGACAACAAAGAACATGTTTAGAGAGTGTTGTGGGCTTTGAGGGGGGGATTCAAGGAAGTCCCTTAAAGCAGCACCCCCAGCCGGGAAGTCTGTACTGATACAACATTCCCATAGCTCTTTCTCCTGGGAAGAAAGCGCCCTTTAAACGGCTGCGTGGCAACCCCCTCCCCACAAGCCCACAGGAAATGTCTGTTTAAAAATAACGTATTTCAGGAGTCCCTTTAAGAGAAACATTTTTGCCCCCGAAAAGAGGTTGTAAAAAACAGAAAAGGGAAAAATATCTTCCCGGAATAGCCCAACAACCATTTAAGAAGGTCTCAAGACAGCTTTTCTTTAAGAGTGACGGGCTTCTTCAGCTGCTGAGGGTTTCTGACTAATCCACGACTGTATTTCTTTAAGGACAGATGCAGTCACCTCAGGAAGCTCTTTGTGGAGGGCATGGTAAGCCTCGTCATATACCTGCAAAGAGAAGGAAAAAGCACGGTTAAAGGCACAAAGCCATAGCTATGCAGACCCATCAATTTCAACAGGTCGTCTAGTAAAACCTAGTTGAATACGACCCAATGCATCCAAAGATGTTGGCACCATGCATCAAAACGATCCATTTGGGGGCTTTCTGCTGCCTACTGACAGTGGTAGCTTCCTGTCTGCCAGGGCAAAGGTTAACCCACCACCACTGGCACCCACAACTCCTCTCTGCCAGTGGAGGTCCAGAGAAGAGGACACTATGTGCCATCCTAAACCCCTGCTCTCACCACCATCAACAGCAAGGGTGGGGGTTAGGATTGCACAACAGGCACTGTGTAGTATATGAATGAACTCCACAAGCTTACGATAACACCCTTCGCATCCTGCAAGCAACTGTGGCCGTCTGTGGCCTGCTAAAATAGAGCTGCACTTTAGACTAGCACTTTAACATGTATTAACAAGTCATCTTTCCCCTAATGCTCTGATGTACACAGAGTGGTAATGCTAGCGTCACAAAACCAAACAGAGATTGAAAAAGAAGCCCCACATCTCTCCCTTGTTCAACTGATCATAACTACTGTTTGTAAACATGGACTGAAAGCAGGTGCCGAATTTCAGCATGCACCATCCCTTTTGTACAAAGCTACACTGCATGCACTGTAATTCTTCATAAATACTTCAAAATGGCTTGAAAGGCAGCTTGTTTCAAGCTGCTCATCAACACCTGATAAAAATACATTCTATCCCTCTTTTTTGTTTACTCTCCTATTGCTAGAGCAGATGTTCACTCAAACATCGAATGAATAAAAATTAAGTGTAATTTAAATATTTTATGGCTGTGAAATCCTAGTAGGTATTGCACTCCCCGTTTTTGTTTTTCTGCACATGCTTCCCATTACTAACAGCATCAAGGGAGAGCTGGCTAGCCTGTTGTACTAATTGCTACCTCTTCATGTTAACTTCCTTGTGTTTTGGCTGAAATCAATAGAATGTTCACCCTACTCAGAACAGACCCAGTGAAATTAATGGACACAGCTAACTGGGTTCATTAATTTTAGCAGGTCTACTCTAAGTTAGCTGTGTGCCTTCCGGTGGTATTTATTTCCAAATAAATGTGCTTAGGCCTACTTAAGTATTGCCCCAGAATTTAACTCATTTCACCCTGTGGAAGATAGAGAAGTTGACACAGGCCTCTCCCCCAGGTGAGGTCTTCCTCTAAAGTGCCTTACATCAGTCAAAAAGGAGCCCAATCGAACTGCCAAGCAGTAAACACCGATCCCTTAATCCTACAAAAAAAGCCAAGATAACCTTGAGAGTTTTATCCTGGCTTGGTGCCGTATCCATCAGCAAATAAGAGCCTTTGATATCGCAGAGTTTGTCAGGTGAACCATGGAGCACCAGCAGAGGAAGAGTCAGTTTGGGGAGCGCACGCTCTATTTTGGCAATGGCATTCAGCAACTGGATGACGAAGGAGACTTTCATGCCGCCATGGTAAACCAGTGGGTCTGTGGTGTAAGAGTCAACCTGTTGAAATAAAAGGGACATTGAATGAACATGTTATGGCTTAACCAACTCCTCAACGGATACTTGCTTTAAAGGCAGCACATTTTAATGTACAGACACCCTCTTCTCATGTGGTGAAGCCTCCACAAAGGTTCTCAGTTTTGACTGCAGTCACATGAGAGGTTTTAATTTATATGCTGCCTTCTACAGAAAACCATGTTCAAAGCAGGTCACAATATACAGCAACAAAAACAATACAATTCATTTTTTGAAAAATCAACACAAAGTATCAATAACCATCTCAATTCCAAAATATTTCAAAATTAAGCAGGACATAGTGATACATCAATTATATTAACAATAAGAGAGTATCAACCTCCTTTCTCTTTTGACTCATCACAGAATTCCATGGACTCTGCTGTGAGATTAGCTCCTTCTTCCCTCAGTTGGTAGCAGCCATTCCATCTCATTACAGTAGAGGGGGGAGGAGGGCCACCACTGAGTCTGGTGGGACTCCTGCTGCCCCCACTCCCTGTAGTAGCCCTTGGCACAGCAGGGGGCCCTCCTCTTCCCTGGACAATAGAAGGCAAACACAGCAGCAAAAAATAAAAGCCACTTTAGCCAGCAAATGCTACCATCTATCGTTTTAATTCCCCCACAATACCTCTGGAGCTCTATGTACTATTGCCTTAAAGCAGTGCAGTCTTGGGGCCCCAAAAGCATTGTGGGGGAATTAAAATGGCGACCGCCAGCCACCACCACCTGGGCTTGAGCACTGGGCAAAGGAAAACCAGTGGACCAGCAATGAGAGGAGCAGGGTGGCTGGAGCCAGCATGTGGGGTACGTGGTGCGCCCTCCTGAGGGTTCAGGCCATTGGAAACTGCCTGGCAGTGCTTATCTTCGCGGCTGTGTAAAGAGTAAGTATGAACAGCAGATAACATGGTTTTTCTGAAATGGACTTTGCTCAATACTCATGGGAGATGCTGCATGTGCCAGAAGTTCAGTTTCTTGTAGGTTTGGGGTGGTTGCTTTGATTTTTTTTGAAGGCAGATATGCTTTCTAGTCAAATACTGAAACACAGTTTGGGTGCAAAAGTGTTGTTGGGGAAATGTGGGACACAGTCATCCTGTGCCTCTATTTCTCCTACGGAAATATGTTTTTCTTAGAAATGCTGGGTTGTGTCCCTGTGCCTAAAGAGAACGTGGAAAGGTTGTGGGGAAACCCAGAACAGATTTTGTTTGCCTGGATGGGGGAAGAGAAGAGGGAAAGGAAATTCTTCTGTACAGGTGAAAGTCCCTAAGTCCCTGCACCAATGGGATAACTTGGTTGCAAACAGTCCACTCTAAATAAGTAGCCAAGTATGAATCAAGGCATTTCTTCCCTTGCCTTTAGGCATCTAAACCATGGATAGGCATACTAAGGCCCGGGGACCAGATCCGGTCCAATCACCTTCTAAATCTGGCTTGCAGACGGTCCTGGAATCAGCATGTTTTTACATGAGTAGAACGTGTCCTTTTATTTAAAATATATATCTGGGTTATTTGTGGGGCATAGGAATTCATTCACCCCCCCCCCAAATATAGTCTGCCCCCACAAGTTCTGAGGGTCAGTGGATAGGCCCCATGCTGAAAAAGTTTGCTGACCCCTAAACCTTGCTTCTTCGCTGTCCTCCTCCCATTTCTGCTCAGGAGAAACCTTGCTTTAGAAAGGTCTGGCTTCCGGTTCAATGTGCTTTTAGGGAAGAAGAGAAAAGAGATGGCTACCGGAACAACTGAGGCGAGTGCATGCAATTTTGCCAACTCCCTTTCTCAGCACCTGGGTGTGCTCTGACATTTTCACCCCGGCCAATTTGACTTTTCTCCTCCAATTTAAACAAAAGTGCTGGGTTGCTCCAGCTACTTAGCAACTGGCTGCAGACTAAAAGCTGCCAAGTTGTTTGTTTGGTGCTGTGACACAGCACCACGTGCAGGCAGCCCAGCATCAAGCTGCTTCCCCGATAAAAAAGCAACAGATAAAGAATTATTGGGGGAAGAAAAATCACAAAGGGGTGGGCGGGCGGCGTGACAGACATCCTCTTCCCGCAGAATAAAATAATGTAGATAAATTCATATGACGTACCACCTTTGCCACCCTCATATGCAAAGCCACAAATGCCAGGAAATAGCCTAATGGGATTTTCTTTGTTTCTTCTTCCTAACCTTGCTTTATGCTGATTTTTTATTTTTTAATCCTAATGCAGGAGAGAGGTGTGTTGTTTTTTAAAAAACCTAACCAACTTTTGCTGGGATGTTAGTGAACAGGGCAGCTGATGTGACCGCGTAGGATGGGGCATATAGAGAGGAAGAACGGGCAGAGATGATTCGTCCCAAAATGGATGCTCCTCAATGCCTGTCAGTTTCCCTCAAACACTTGTGTTGCCTGTGTTTTCCTCTAATGTTAGTAAACAGGATGGAGTCAAAGGTGTGGTTCACACATGACCTTAAACCAGTGCGGTGTAGTGCTTAAAGTGTCAGACCTGGTTGAAATCCCCACTCGGCTGTGAAGCTCACCTTGGGCCAATCACAGTCATATATCCTAATCTACCTCACAGGGTTGTTGTGAGGATAAAATGGGAGGGGGAGAACTATGTATACCACCTTGAGCTTCTTAAAGGAATGGTGGGATACAAATATAATAATTCACCCATCCACTAAATAAAACCATAGTTAAAGTTTAGCTGTTGTTTAACACAAACAAGCTGTGTGCTACAATAGGCTTTCTCCCTCACTCCTGGCAGTGCCTTGACAGGAGCAAGAAACCACAAGCCCTGGAATGGCATCTTGAGTCAAAATAGTGACCAACTGTATCCAACCATAGACAAAAACCTGTTGCTCGATATCAGGAGCCATCATGCAAAATTTGGATATAATATCCTATTTCCAAACACATTTTCAAATGCATAATGAACAAACAAGTTCCTAAAACATATAGTAAATTATACTAATTATATGAAAACCTCATGTTGTTGTTGTTTTAAAAAATGCAGCTATAAAATGATGCAATAGCAGCAGTAGTAATATGCTGCTGGCTCTTGAATTTGCTCTGTGATTCAGGGAAAAGAATGTGCCCTTCCTAGCATGTAATCAGTGGCAATCCCACAACATGTTATCACTAAATTAATCTTTGATGTAAGTGGTAAGATAAATAAACATGCACTTATTTGAAAACGTTCCTGTTTATCCAGGCATTCAGTGACTGAAAAATACTGTCCCTAGCAACCCTGAGGTCACTGGAAGAAATAAAGGTTTTAACCACCACTGTCTTTTTAATCGAAACCGTTTTTAACTGTTTTAGGGTGCTTCTTTTTTTAAAAAAAAAAACAAAACTGTGGATGTGCTTGCCTCCCTGGGCTCCTTTGGGAGGCAGGGCAGGATATAAATGAAAAGAAATAAAAAAACCAACACTATGGTAGAAAAGCGGTTAAGTAAGTACAGTAAAGCAAAACAAAGAAGAAAACACAACAGACATCACTGGAACATTGTGAGTTGCTTTGATACTGCAGAGTAATCATGATGCATGCAACCCCCTCCCAAGTTTCCAGCAGAGAAACTATTGGTTCATCTAACTAGTCCTGGTAGTGAAACAACAAAGAAGGACTATTTACTGCTAGTGAAACGGGGCTTCCCCCATCTCAGGGGTGGCAGTCAGGGGAACCCCCAGAACAGGGTGCAGGGGGAGCACTTTCTTCATCAGGTAAGCACAAATGCTTGCACCAACTTAGTGATCTCCTTAGCGCTATGTTGAATTCCTCCTAATATCCTGATCCTTTTCTGATACAGTTCTTCAGCCCTAAAATTTGGTTTAATGACCTTTTCAGAGATTGGGAGGGGAAGACTGGTGTGTGGGAGAAGGTTGGATTCTGGATTCCCATCTGCTTTGTAATGATCACTCAGGTCCACTGAACCAGCTGGATGTATCTTAATGCAGATGGAGATGCACATTAGAATATGGGACCAATAGGGATTGTTCAACTAGATTCAGGGGCTATTGCTTTTTAAGGCAGGCAAGGCCCCGCCCCCAACAAGTATAAACCTATAGCAACACAGCCTTTGCATCAAACACATTTTAGATTATGGTGACAGCCTTGCTTTCTTTTGAAATTGCACCCCAACGCATCTGGAGTTTTGCATCAGATTTAACAAGCAAGAAATTTTTTTTTATCAAAATGTCTCAAATCCACCATTTACATTTCAGTTCCTGGTTTGCAAAACCAAACTGCTATGAACACAAACAAGTCAGGAAATTCTTGGAGGACATCCCAATGATATTTATAGAGACTAGAAATTGGTCTGGCAGATGAATACGTGCAGCATGTAAATAGTGGCTGTTCCCAGTACAATCTAAACTTGTATTCTGCAGGTTTTGAGTGTAGATGACACTAAAACTACAGATAGGTCATTTTTCAAAAGTAACCCAATGTCAGCAGACACGGCAATGTTTTCAAATTGCTTGGAAGTTCTGGTGCACATAGCAGAGACGGACAAACTTTGGAGTCAGAGATCAGCTGTGACTCACCTTGGGCATTTTTGCATCGCTGGGCTCTGTTATTGCTACTGCTACTACTATTATTTCAATTTATCATCTGCCCTTCACCATAAGTTCCCAAGTTGGGTTACAACAACTGAAAATACAGCATTAAAAAGCTTTTAAAACAAACTATAGCCACAATAATAGGGTGGGTCCCAATACACACACCCTATAGGTGTCGGGAGGTCTGTCTTGAGCACACGTGTGCAGAAAGAGGCCCTAGAAAGGCTTGGATGAGCTTTTAATCTGATACAGTCTCATGTGCTTATCAGACAAATTCCCATGCTGTTTCCAGCAGATTCTAAATTTGTATTTAGTAGATTCTGAGTGTAGGTGGAACTAAGAAACTGGAGACTGCTGTGTGTGTGTGTGTGTGTGTGTGAGTGTGTGTGTGAGTGTGAGTGTGTGTGTGTGTGTGAGAGAGAGAGAGAGAGAGAGAGAGAGACTGTACAAACTTTTATAGGTAACATTTCAGAAGAAATCTAATCTCAGCAGACTAGACAATATTTTCAAATTGCTAGGTGTTTGCAATGTATGACGACACATCAAAGAGGTGTTCCTGGTTCCAAGCCATTTGGTAAGTAGTAGTGGTCAGTGCGATGGAACAGCATCACAGAGTTGTCTGGCCAACACCAGTGTTGCTACAGGTTAACTGGGCGGTGCTGGGGCAGGACTGCATGGCCTTACTGGTGGAGCCAATCCAACATCTGCACAGTCCTACCCACACCATTGCCCTTCCCTGCCCCAGCACTGTTCAGGTATGCTGTGCCAGTGTTGGGAGGGTGGCTACACAACACCACCACTCCATGCGAGCTGCTACTGCTAGTACAGGTCCAATACATTGCACATGTGGACTATAAGGATTGGATGACTTCCATGAACACTTGTCAAAAGTGGCCTTCCGGAGAGACGGCCCATTGTTTCTTCCTAGTCAAATATTGTCTAGCCTGACTGATAATGGCTCTCCAGGCTCTCTCAGGCAGGGATCTTTCCTAGCCAGATCTGTTATCAGAAGGGCAAACTACAAGTTACACTCAATATGTAGCTGTGCCTTTAAGTATTTCATTTGTTTTCTACACCAATTGCTGGGACCCTAGCATGGGGATTTGGAAGGCTTTAACTCTTTGCCACCTGCTGTGGTTCTGATCTGTATTATTGCCCCCGTGTGTCTGTAATTTGTGCGGGGGGGGGGGGGAGACACAGACCATCCCATACATTTCAATAAGAGCATTTTAAAAAATTTTTACTATGCAAGCTACAGGTACAGTGGTACCTCGGGATGCGAACGGGATCCCGTTCCGGAGCCCCGTTCGCATCCTGAATGCAACGTCAGCCGCGACTGCGCATCTGCGTGTGTCGCCGCTTCCGCGAAAGATGCCATTTTGAGCGTCTGCGCATATGCAAGTGGCGAAACCCGGAAGTAATGGGCTCAAGCCGAAGCACATTGAACCCAAGGTATGACTGTATGTTGAAGCCCCTGTGCCAGCAATTTAAGTTAAAACACCCCTGTACTGAAAAGCCCGGTGTTATGTACTGAGTTGAATAGGATCCAAAATGCAGCAGTCTAATTGGCCCTAGAACAATAGGATTCAGAATGCAGCAGTCTGATTGGTCCTAGAACAATAGGATCCAGAATGCAGCAGTCTGATTGGTTCACAGGAGCCACCCAATCCAGGTGGAAGGGAATCCGCAACCTGATTGGCCTACAGGAGAATCCCGGAATTAGCCAATCATGTGGGGCCCATTGTGTAAATAATGTATGTAAGGCAGACATTCTGGGGGAACTTCCATTCCTCCTCACCACTATGAGCTGAATAAAGGGCATGAAATCCACTCTCGACTCCAAGTATATTTCACCCAGAAACACAGGAAATTTAGCATGCAGTCTGGCTCATGGACTCTTCAGTGAAAGATACCAAAGATTGAATCTGAGACCCTAAATGCAGAGCATGTGCTCAATTACTTAGCCACATACACCCAATCCTCCTTTGAGCTGCTATGTGTGGACCTCTCTGTTAAGTACAAGTGTTGTTGACAATGTTGACTACAACAGGCTGGATGTGCTAAGAAGCATTTTAACCTTGCTGCATTGCTGGCATCCTGTTGGCACTTTGCTGTCAGACACCTTCTTAGCATTTCCAGGGTGAGAGCTCCATCAGCATGTATTAATCACTGCAGTGCAGCTTACCTAGCAAGTTAGCAGCATTCAGTATATTTACAGTGCATCTGAGAGAAATTTGAGCTGGTAGGAATGTGCGTTCACTAACATACTATAGTCTCCTGCTTTTTTCAAAATCCCAGAGTGCCATTTCCTGTCAGTTCAGTTGATCTTTACAATGAACTACAACCCTGTCTAGCAATCCTTTGTCAGGCTCTGCTTACATTCATCCCCCCTCCCTGTATGCCCACGATTATGTTCTCCTTTAAAGAACAAGTACATTTTTATTTGTTACCGTTTTGATGCTAAAGCCGCTGTGGACATCTCTGGTTTTACTAGCGGCTGCAGATGCAGGTTTGCATCCTGTGCTTCAGGAAATGTCTGTAAGCAGCACGGAGGTGCTTGTCTACAGAGCTACTGCACAATGCAAGGTTGACTACTGGGCAGCCTCCTCCACCACTGGTGCATCATGGCAACTATGAAGTCAACCCATTTGCTTCCATACAGTGGTACCTCGGGTTAAGTACTTAATTCGTTCTGGAGGTCCGTTCTTAACCTGAAACTGTTCTTAACCTGAAGCACCACTTTAGCTAATGGGGCCTCCTGCTGCTGCTGCGCCGCCGGAACACAATTTCTGTTCTCATCCTGAAGCAAAGTTCTTAACCTGAGGTACTATTTCTGGGTTAGCGGAGTCTGTAACCTGAAGCGTATGTAATCTGAAGCGTATGTAACCCGAGGTACCACTGTATTAAGATGAAGAACAGGGACACAGAATGACAGAATGAATTTTCCCTGCTTCACAATACTGATGCAAAACATATGAGGATTAAGTCATTTCAGGCTGGATTAAATTTTCTCCTCCTAAGTGCCGTATGAAATTCTCTCATTGTCTATACAGAAAAGGTCCCATCCCTTTTCCAAGGGCATTTCATCAGTTTGCACCAAGATGCAACTTGGCACTTGTAGTTCAGTCAAACTGCTGAGGCAAGAACAAATGGACAAGACTGGGAAACAAGAACAGACACCGCAGTGATTTGCAAGAGCAATAAAATTCTCACCTCTTTCTTATTCCGGGAAATGACGTTTGGGTCGATAGATCCCAGGGACAAGTTTGGCAGAACTAAGTTAAGTATTTTAGCTGCAAAAACCTGAGGGAGATGAATGTAGTTAGTAACTTGGACAGCAAAGAAGAGAATTGCAGGAGCCAGATCGGCAGGTGGCAGAAATGGTTTGAGGTTCTCTGTTGCTGTACCACCACATCAATGTTATATTCCAGCTGAGGATCCGGTCTTAAGTGCCAACTAACAGCTCTAGTACAAATACACTGAAAAGGCAGGAAAAGTTCCCACGGCCATTTACAAGGACAAGCATGATGCAACAGGCAGTGTTCCTCAACACATCTTTGTCCAGCTTCAGGACTCCTGCATTTCCTCCTGGCACCAAAATAAGCAGGGAGAGTGTCCTTGCTGAAGAAGCTAATACTGAGGCAGCATTTCACTTTTCAACGCAGTCCAATTTTGTCTCAACACCATTTACTTCTAATTTCAGTCTGTTACAATGCAAATTGTCGCCTGTGCAATCCACCCAGTATTTGCCTAGGCTGCAACTCTTCCTGCGAAGCACATTCTCTAGGGGGACACAAGTAAACAAGAACAAATGTGCAGGCATTGACTAAGGAAATCTATTGCATACCTGCCCTCTGGGAGTTAAATGCAAAAGGTCTGAACTTCCGGAGCATACAAATGCCCACAGAAGAGAAGGAAAATGTATTTCTTTCTCCCACTAAAAGCATTTTGCAATCAAGCCCAATATTTAGAATTCTCCTCTGATCTTTTAATTAAGTGGTGATTGCTTGGAAATGTTGACAACCAAGAAAACAAATAGCTGGGCCTTTGTTTTATAGTCTCTTTGAATGTCAAATACTGTATCCAGAGATACTTCCTGCAAAGTATAAAGTGTGACCTTGCTAGAGTACAAATCCATTAAGTACGCCCAGTCACATAACATTCTCTCATCCTCCTTCATCAAAGTTGCTATGGATTGGGAAATTATACTGTATTAGAGCAAAGATAAAAAAGGATGTAATGAAGAGTTTCTCCAAGGTACCAAATATCAAAGCAGTCACAGATTTCAGAGGCATTTACAGGCATTGCAAATGCCATTGCCATGGAACACTCCTTTTGTACCAAAGCTTCATGAGCTCCATTTAGCACATGGGCCAAGAGAGAGATGTTAGGACATAAATGTATTCTCCAGAAATGCAAATGTGGTCCTGGAACTTCAAGTCACTTGGAAAAGTTCACCTTTCCACTGGCACTAATGCACATATTTCTACACGTTAGGAGACCCCCTCACAGAGCTATATTTCCTATCACCCTTAATGAACTACAGTTCCCAGTATTCTTTTTTTGGGGGGTGGGGTGCCGCCATGACTATTAAAGACGTATAAGAGTGCTTTAAATATATGACATGAATGTGACCCTGTGCTTTGTTTGTGCACTACTACTTATACTCTGCCTAGTGTGTTTTGTCTAGGCTTAGTTCCTAGCACTGGCCTGAGGAGATGAGTTGTCCTGGCTTCCTGGGGGATGATACTAAGTGAAACAACAGGCTTTTAATTAAACAGCTTTGTGTAACAAGTACCTTGATAGATAAAATCATAGAATCATAGAATCATAGAGTTGGAAGAGACCACAAGGGCCATCGAGTCCAACCCCCTGCCAAGCAGGAAACACCATCAGAGCACTCCTGACATATGGTTGTCAAGCCTCTGCTTAAAGACCTCCAAAGAAGGAGACTCCACCACACTCCTTGGCAGCAAATTCCACTGTCGAACAGCTCTTACTGTCAGGAAGTTCTTCCTAATGTTTAGGTGGAATCTTCTTTCTTGTAGTTTGGATCCATTGCTCCGTGTCCGCTTCTCTGGAGCAGCAGAAAACAACCTTTCTCCCTCCTCTATGTGACATCCCTTTATATATTTGAACATGGCTATCATATCACCCCTTAACCTCCTCTTCTCCAGGCTAAACATGCCCAGCTCCCTTAGCCGTTCCTCATAAGGCATCGTTTCCAGGCCTTTGATCATTTTGGTTGCCCTCCTCTGGACACGTTCCAGTTTGTCAGTGTCCTTCTTGAATTGTGGTGCCCAGAACTGGACACAGTACTCCAGGTGAGGTCTGACCAGAGCAGAATACAGTGGCACTATTACTTCCCTTGATCTAGATGCTATACTCCTATTGATGCAGCCTAGAATTGCATTGGCTTTTTTAGCTGCCGCGTCACACTGTTGGCTCATGTCAAGTTTGTGGTCAACCAAGACTCCTAGATCCTTTTCACATGTACTGCTCTCAAGCCAGGTGTCCCCCATTTTGTATTTGTGCCTCTCATTTTTTTTGCCCAAGTGCAATACTTTACATTTCTCCCTGTTAAAATTCATCTTGTTTGTTTTGGCCCAGTTCTCTAAACTGTCAAGGTCGTTTTGAAGTGTGATCCTGTCCTCTGGGGTGTTTGCCACCCCTCCCAGTTTGGTGTCATCTGCAAATTTGATCAGGATGCCCTTGAGTCCATCATCCAAGTCGTTGATAAAGATGTTGAATAAGACCGGGCCCAAGACAGAACCCTGTGGCACCCCACTAGTCACTCTTCTCCAGGATGAAGAGGAACCATTGATGAGCACCCTTTGGGTTCTGTCAGTCAGCCAGTTACAAATCCACTGAGTGGTAGCATAGTCAAGACCGCATTTTACCAGCTTCTTTACAAGAATATCATGGGGCACCTTGTCAAATGCCTTGCTGAAATCAAGGTAGGCTACATCCACTGCGTTCCCTTCATCTACCAGGCTTGTAATTCTGTCAAAAAACGAGATCAGGTTAGTCTGACATGACTTATTTTTCAGAAATCCATGCTGACTATTGGTGATCACAGCATTCCTTTCTAGGTGCTCACAGACTGTTTGCTTAATGATCTGCTCCAGAATCTTCCCTGGTATTGATGTCAGACTGACTGGGCGGTAATTATTTGGGTCCTCTCTTTTCCCCTTTTTGAAAATAGGGACAACATTTGCCCTCCTCCAATCTGCCGGGACTTCGCCTGTTCTCCAGGAATTCTCAAAGATGACTGCCAGTGGTTCTGAGATCACATCTGCCAGTTCTTTTAATACTCTTGGATGCAGTTCATCTGGCCCTGGAGACTTGAATACATCTAAACTAGCCAAGTATTCTTGTACTATCTCCTTAGTTATTCTGGGCTGTGTTTCCTTTGCTGAATCATTTGCTCCAAATTCTTCAGGTTGGGCATTGTTTTCTTTATCGGAGAAGACTGAGGCAAAGAAGGCATTGAGGAGTTCAGCCCTTTCTGTGTCCCCTGTTTGCATTTCACCATCTTCTCCTCTGAGTGACCCCACTGTTTCTTTGTTCTTCCTTTTGCTACAGACATACCCATAAAAGCCTTTTTTGTTGCTTTTAACCTCTCTAGCAAGCCTGAGTTCATTCTGTGCTTTAGCTTTCCTGACTTTGTGTCTACACGTGCTGGCTATTTGTTTGAATTCCTCTTTGGTGGTTTCCCCCCTTTTCCATTTTTTGTACACATCCTTTTTTAATCTTAACTCAGTTAAAAGTTCTTTATATAGCCACCCTGGCTTCTTTAGGCACCTTCCATGTTTCCGTCTCATTGGTATTGCCTGACGTTGTGCTTTTACTATCTCCCTCTTAACAAACTCCCAGCCATCATGAACTCCCTTTCCTTTTAGTATTACTGACCATGGGATTTCACCCAGCACTTCCCTAAGTTTTATGAAGTCGGCTTTCTTAAAGTCAAGAAATTGAGTCCTAGTATGCTTGGCTGCTCCTTTCCGCTGTATAGTAAACTTCAGAAGAGCATGATCACTCGTGCCTAATGATCCTTCCACTTCTACCCCACTAAAATACCTGAGGAAAAGCTAATGAACTCATCTGAGCAGGTTCTTACACAGTGTCTTCTGCCAGGAGTTGTGGTTGGTAGATTTAACTCATTATGTGCATATCCATCTACATCAGGGTTTTCCAAATTTGGGTCTTCAGCTGTTTTTGGACTACAATTCCCATCATCCCCAAGCAGTGGTCCTGCTAACTAAGGATGATGGGAGTTGTGGTCAAAAAACAGCTGGAGACCCAAAGTTTGGGAAACCCTGATCTAGATGATGGTACATATAAATGCATTGCATGCACTCTTAACAAGACAAGTAAGGCGGGATTCAACTATGTTTTATTCAGAGTAGACTAATGAATATGTCCAAGTTAGGGGCATCCATTTCAATAGATCTTCTCTGAGTAAAACTTAGCTGAATTCCACTGATATAAATAATGAAGATTAAGATATGTCCCCATTCTAAAAATCTAAATTTTACCATTATAAAGTCTGAGTAGAGCATCAACTGTATGCATGCTCCCATGCTTACCATTAACAGATGACAGGACTGGCTATAGGGATGGAGGCTACTTTTCCAATCTCAGGGCATCCCCCCCCCCCACAACATCCACTTAAATGCAAGCAAATTCAAAACTGCTTGTTGTGTAATACTGAGACTAAACCTATGAAGCTAAAGCCAACCAGGTTGAACCTCGCCTCCCAAGCCCACTAATCACATAAATATATGTCATTAGGCAGAATTATAACTGTCAAGTGTCCTTCCACTCATAGTGACTTTACAAAGGTAAACGTGAACCTGGAATATGGAAAAATCTGGGGAGGGAGGAATTGTAAAGGTAAAGTGACAGCAAAAGCCAATTGTTAGGTCTTTGCAGGTTTCTCTGCTCCATATCTCTCTCTCTCAATGCTGCCTCATGCACTTTCCTAAAAGGCAGCCACTGGGATTTTGCTATTCACATGTTTCCAACACATATTTAGCCCCATAGTCTTCGTAGTGACCATGAATTTTCCTCTGAAAATTTCCTCTGAAATTCATTTAAAATTAGTAAGGACCTTAAATCAATCCTTTCTCCCTTTTCTTTTCCTTTTAGTGCAAATTGACATGTACAGAGAGGAAGGACTGGTGGGAAAAAAAGAGCTACTGGCTGGAGACTGTGTGAAGCTCAGCTGACATTTAGCTAGTGTGTTGGAAATTAATTTATGCCCGTATTTTTACCTTGATCGGTGTTGCTACATCTGGGCTTGCAACTACTAGAGGAGAAATTAATACCATGCCTGAAAAGTCATTTGGTCTTTCGCACGCGGTGAGGATGGAGATGGCTCCTCCCTGAAATGAAAAAGCAAGCAATATTTTGAGTGAAAACACTGGCAATTACAATGAGTATTATAGAGTCATAGGATTGTAGACCTGGAAGGGACACCAAGGGTCATCTAGTCCAACCCCCCGCAATGCAGGAATATTAATCCCAATAGAGCAAAGAGGGATTCTAAGTATTTTATAGGAAAGTACAGTAACAAGGTCTGTTACTGTACCCAGGTATCTTGTCGATTTGCTCTAGTGATGCGCTACAATCGAGCCAAAGCAGTTAACTTGAATTTCCTTCTACACACAACAAAAAACAATTTTAGATAAGAGTTTCATCCTCACATGCCACTGAGTTCAATTGACAACTATTTTTTTCTGAAGTGCCAACATGGGATCACAGTGCCTGTGAAGCTGGCAATCTCAATTTTTATAACATGGATACAAGTGTGTATCACAGGTGTGATTCACCTGCCAATCCCAGCAGAGCAATTTTTGTGCTTCAAATGGGGTTCCAGTGCTGCTGCAGCCACTGCAACACTCAGAAGCACAATTATATGAAAGAAGGCATCCTGCCAATCTGCACACAGCTACTCTGTGATAGTTACAGCAAGCTCAAGCTCATCCTCATATAAATCTTAAGTTATGCATAGTTTAGCAGAGAGAAATGAGAACAGTAAACTACTTTATTTACTCCCCTCCCACCTATGAAATTTAAAACAGTAATTGGGGTGGGGCAACGAGGGGCAAAATAAGGGTATGGTTGTCCCGGTGGTGTGGAAAGGAAGGATGCCTCTGATGTGCATATAAAGGTAAAGAATATGGAGGAAGAACTGACACAATCAAAGGGGCACGAGATGGTTGTATGTTTTCGAGAAAGACAAGGTGAGTTAAGGAGCCATGCAACTGGAAAAGGGGAGATGGCAGAAAAAACAGGCTGGCCAAAAAAAAAATCCAGGATACCAACAAAAGACAAAGAGAAAACTGAATGAGTAAGAGAGTTGTGCAGCTAGACACTGAGTAAAACCTCAACTATTAAACACACACACCCAGGCAAAGCTAACTGTTTTCTGACATTCAGACATTTCTTAAAACTTTCTGGGGGGTTTTCCTCCTCCAGAAGCTACAGCTCAGGGTCATGATGGCTGTACACAACCTCTGGTATCAGTATCAGAAGCAGTATGCCTTTGAATGCTAGTTGCTTGAGAGCTCAAATGGGGGGAGCGGTGCTGCACTCATGTCCTGCTTGTGGGATTCCCACAGGCATCTGGTTGGCCACTGCAAGAACAGGATGCTGGACTAGATGAGTCCTTGGTTTGATCCAGCATGGCAGTTCTTAAATTCTTGTGTGTGTGTGTGTGTGTGTGTGTGTGTGTGTGTGTAGGGCTCCTTTGCTTGAGTGGGGGCTCTAACTGGCTGCCTCACATAGAGCAGCCAAATTCATGTGTGAATGGCCTGCAGGTACCTTGGGATTCAGAGCACAGCTCTCAGGCAAAACCCCTACCTTTCCCTTATGCATATGAGGTGTTTATGAGAACTAAGGCTGAATCATTTGGGCCTAGTTATTCTTACCGCCCAGTTATCCGAGCCGCCCAGAGTGGCTGGGGCAACTCACTCAGGTGGGCGGGGTACAAATAATAAAAGCATGTCTGAACTGAAATATGAAGTTTAGGAAGAAGCATGAAGCACACATATGCGAGTTTTCACCACAGCGGCACAGGTCACAAACACCTAGGTAGGAGCTGGGCTCAACAGAGAAATAAGAGTCCTTTACATTTGCTTTGGGGAGGAAGGCCTAGTGTGGTGGTCTTTAAAAATCCTGTGAAGGACTGACTGGACTCTGGAATCTTCTTGGAGACAGGGGCTTTTGCAATTTAGAGACTAAACTAAGGCTTTAAATACTTGAGTATTGTTGGCTAATATTTGCCCAGTCTTTTAACAACATTGTTTCAACTAATCAAATGGCAAGGCTATCTTGGATCACAAATCAGTACAACCAGGACAGAGGCACCAATAAGCAGGGAGTGCTCAGTAGGAATTACAAACCATTAATTGCCTTGGTGAAATTCTATGGAGCTGGAGAGTCATAATCCTGTTTACATGTAGAAACGACAAGAAGACTATGTAAGACTTCATTTTGATGAGGATTTAGGAATCAGACTATTGCTATAGTCAATTTGCCTTTAAAGGTATGCTATGAGCTTCAAACCAAACATCTTCATTCAAGTAGGTCGCATTCGGACTAGTGACGGGTGAACTCAATCGGCTTGTCTCAAAAATTACTTTTGTTTTGCTTTGAACTTTCCTTGGGAACACTCAGAAACTTAAAATTAATTATTTTTTGTGTGCTGAATTCTGCTACTACCCATTCCAAACAAAGAAAAGTCTTTCTAGAAACAGGAGAAGGCTGCCTAGCCCCTACTGAACCAAAAATGATGGTCCTGAGCATGTTCAAAGTTTTCATTTTCCTGCCAGGGAGCATGGGATTTGTAGTCGTCTCTGTTTCCTAAGGCAAATTCAACTGAATTAATTAATAGGGGTCCTGTTCAAAGGGGAGTGAGGCTTTTAGAACTAGGGGAGTTCATGTTTCAGATTTCCCCGGTTGCAAAACTGCACCCACTAATCCTGACTCAGTATTTTCTTTTTAAACTTAACAATAGGTAATGCACTTTTCATGTGGCAAGCCTTTGAAGCATAATGCCGTGGGATATGGGGATGGCTAACAGCATGGTAGTAATGCTAGATAAAAGGAGGGGGCATCATATTGGCTTAGAAGATCTTCCAGGGGCCTTAACTAATGAGCTGATCCTACTGGTTGCCACTCTATAGAAAGGAACAACACACTGAATAACTATCCCGTTCCTACTATTGATGCAGGAGTGGACACTGGCACTCCTGCAGCGCTGATAGCTGCCTCCAGCCCTTGCTTAGCTGTGCCAAGCAAAGGCAATTACATAGCAAGGAGAGAGCCAGGGCCAGTTTTATGCCATGGGATCTGGCTCAGAGGTCAGAAGTCTGGGTTTGCTTTGCAAGTAAATGCAACACTGCAGGTAAATAAACCAACGCTTAATGACTGGAGATGCAGATTAACAGGGCATGTATCCCCATAACGAAAGCTGTTGCACTGCATGTGCTAGCCCTATACTGGCATACCATTCCTCTGAACTGTCTGGCAAGTGGCTCAAACAGACTACCTTTTGTATTTGCATTCCTGATCCTTTTTATGTTTTGCTTATATACACAATAATAATAACTGAACTAAGCTCCTATGAGGGTTGTGCATATTCTGTGTTTTAAAACTCAGTATTCCCATTCATGCAACAAGGAAACAAAAAGTCTTCATCAAGGAAAGCAGAATTCAGAGTTATGAGTAAATAGTGCATATTTGTATATATTCGCTTATTTTGCATAATTCATGCTTCTTTTGTTAAATGGCAGAGGGAGCTATGGTGAATCTCCCATTCCGAGATCTCAAGTAGTCCTGCTCAGCATTTACTTTGGTTTCTGAGGTTTTCTCGAGGCATTATCCATTTTTAGGTTATCTCTAGCTTATCTCCACAATCACAGGGACTAAGCACCTGGGGGAGTTAGCTTTGTTTTGGAAAAGAACACTGAGATGCCCAGGTCATTATTACGTGTCTACCATGAACTTCCATGCTTGCATGGTTTGTGAACAAAGACAACACATAACTCTGGCTCAAAGTGCCACATTAACAGTCACATGCTTTTTCCACTTGCCTTCTCCTGGTGCTGAATCTCTCTGACCATAGCTTTTCCCTAGTGTAGGCTAGCTCTTCTAGGAACCAACAGACTTCTACTGGGTAGTTTCTACTCCTTTAACTGCCATCTGATTTACAGTTAATCAAAACCATGTGCCAACCCAACATTTCAGAGTGCCTGAGAAGAAATTGAATGGGAAAGCCACAACTCTGCATAGAGTGGGACATCCCAGAAGGCAATGGGCTTACTTCAGTTCCTCATCCTTTAACCATTAATAGTAATTAATGGAGTAACAAGAAATAAAATATACCTAGCTTTGGAAAAGCTGTGTCTTCCCTACTTACTACCTCAGCCTTGAGCTTGATTAGTCTCTCAAACCTTGGCCATATTGTGGCCAGTCATGTGGGTTCTTTCTCTTTGCCTCTCACAGCTTCTCACCAAAAAAGCTCACCAAAGTGGCTTGTTTAGTCACCACACTGGTGCTCCATTGTTACACTGACTACGGTCCTTGAGTTGTAGAGAAATGTGTTGGCCAAAAACAGTAAGAGGGGAAACAGCTTAACTCAACTTGCAAAGTGGGGTGTGTGTGTGTGTGTGTGTGTGTGTGTGTGTGAGAGAGAGAGAGAGAGAGAGAGAGAGAGAGAGTGTGTTCTTGGCTTGGTAATGTTGGGGAAAGACTGGGGGCCATAGTGAGGCCGAGAAAATGTACAGGGTAGCACACTATCCCAAATGCACCTAGTGTTTTACAACTGTCTTACATTTCTGGAAGATCTGTTTGCTCTTTGGAGCCCAAAGATAAATAAGAGTTGGGAGTGGCGTGTGTGTGAGTGTGACCCCCATCCCTCATGGTCATGCCTGTTTGCAAGTCACTCTATGGGTGCAATTACTGCTTTTAGCAATTATCCATGTAAAATGAACATAAAACGAAGAAAAAGGGGTAGGGTAACAGAAAAGACCAGAGTGGGGGAAAGTGTCCTCTGCTCCTGGGTAGGAAGCCGAGAGTCCATTAAGGAGGGATAGAGCAGGACTGCTTACCATGGAGTGCCCTAGAAGGAACACAGGGAGGTCTGGGTGGTCTTTCTTCATGAGGTCAATGTGCTGCAAGCTGTCTCTGACAAACACATGGAAGTCTGACACAACCATACGGTCTCCTTCACTCTGCCCATGGCCAACTGTGGAGGGGAAAGGAAAAGTGACCTGCTACATCAAAAATATTCAACACCTTGAATGTAAAGATGCTTGAGGCAGCATCGTATCTGAAATTCAATGGAGAGAGAAGGGGGGCGCTAGAGATGTGCAAAGAGCTCTTGTGAATTGTCAGGGATGATCAATGGAAAAAACATCCTTCTGGTTAGCTATAATCATATGAAGATGTAAACGTAAGGCTAAGCCACCGTGGCCTGGACCCAAATAATGCTGCAGCATGCAAACAGATCTGCCCCCACACTCTTGCCTGGATAGCTAGCTCTGTTTGCTCTCAGTGTTGGGGACCTAGATTCAGCTGCCCTCCGGAATGTGCTTCTGTGAGTGGCTCTCCCTTGTTAGCTTGGGGATGCAGCCTGCCAGAATGTCTGTCAGTTATCATGACTACACAAATACCTTGCATATGAACGCACGCAGAAAGAAATTTTCCAGGAATTACACAAAGATTATTGGCACCCAACTATGCACTGCCAGTGTCTAAAGCATTCAGCTTGAAAAGAGATGTTGATTGTGCTGGGAGCAGCTAAAAAGGCATTTCTGATTCAAAGGCAGCAGATGTCTTGATCCAAACCTGGATACTGGAGTGAGTGAAGGAAATGGCTGACAGTTAAGGAAATGATGAAAAGGGTGGCATCCACAACGCAGAGAAAGAGGAAATGCATGAGCAACAGAAGTTGGGAAGGAGACACATCAGCTCTTACTGTAAATTTCAGGGTTAGAATCTAACTTTGGGGGGGGGGGTTGGAAATGCAGATGTTAAACATCATATGAGATGCAGGGGAAAGAGAGAGAAAATGACATTTCCGAATTTTGTCTATTACTTTTCAGCAAGGAAATTTTATGCCCTCATCAGATATTCAGAAATCATCTTTGGGGAATCTCAGAGCCAAAATTAATTTAATTGCATGGCTAGCAGTCACATCTGTTTTGTTTTGTTGTTTTAAATGCAATATCTGGCACAGTGAGGGCAAGGCTAAGTCAACTTTCATCAGGACCACAGCATGTGGGGTGAGGCATTTTAACTCTTCCTTCTCATTCCCAGTCCAAATGAAAATCACCCCCTACACTACAATTAGTATTAGGAAGAACAGTTCCCATTGGCACGAATGTGAGGCAGCTTTTTCTCTCACACTAATTGTGGCACGGGGTGATTTTTATTGGGATCAGGACTGGGAGGGAAGGATGAAATCTCCACTCTCGACATGCTTTGGTCCCAATGAAAATTACCCCCTCTACACTGGTCATTACAGTTAAAGTAGCATCTATTTTGATCCACAGGCAGCCCATGTACTTTAATTCTTGAACCCATTCCTCCCCTACCTAATTCTATAGAAACTCAATAGCTCCCTAAAAGATAACAGATAAATTAAAAATTACAAATCTCCTGATAACTATTCAGAAACATCAGTATGAGTAACTGTACAGAGGTGCATAGTGGGGCAAAAAACTCTAATTTCACATATGCACTGAAGGGGTCTGGATGTGGATGCCTTTAAAAGGGGTTTGGGCAAATTCAGGGAGGATATCAGTGGCTATGAGCCATGATGGCTATGTCCTACTTTTGCTATTGGAGGCAGCATGCATCTGAATGCCAGTTGCTTGGAATCACAAGTGGGTTGTGCTCAGGTCCTGGCTGTGGGCTTCCCATAGGCATCTGTGAGAAGAGGCTGCAAGTCTAGAAAAGTCTTTGCTTTCTTATGCTCTTAGGTAATCTTGGAGGAAACTGTGTATGTGGCAGCTGTGAAAAATTCAGATTTCATACTACAGATTATTAAGAGAGGGATGGGAAACAGTGCTTCTTGCTTGGTAAAAAGAACAACAGAAGGGGCTTTGTAGAAACTAGCCTTCCTGCACAAAGGCAAATTTATCATCTGTTGCTCCACCCACTTTTGCCTATGGCTCCACCCACCGCTGGCATGTGGCCCCTGGAAGGTTGCCTAGGAGGGAATGTGGCCCTTGGGCTCAAAAACGTTTTCCATCCCTTCTTTTAGTATGACATGTGAATGTAAAACCGAATCACAGATTTGCAGCAAGATGCAGGGCTGGCTACTATCTATGGTTGCTTTTAAAGGAGATTAGACAGATTAATGGAAGATGTGTATATCAACAACTATTAGCCATAACAGCTGAAAGCACCTCCATTGCTGGGACGAAACAGTGGCAAAAGGCCTTTTGACCCCTTTTCTGGACTATCTCAGTGGCATCTGATTTGCTACAGCAGGGGTCTTATGCTGCTCACAGCCTGAATGAGAACTGATTGCAAATTGTAGGGAATATGGCCCATTGCTCTTAAAAATAGAAAAATAATTATTAGCCTCCCCCACTACCCATCTCTTGCCAGATAAGGATTGTTTGCGGCACTGGACTATTGAAATCCGTAATTACCCCTTGAGGAACAGAACTAGAGCAGCAATAAGCACTGATGATAAACTGATCTGAATAGGTGGGCTGGTGCCATATCACTGAGCCAAAATTACAGCTCCTTCATTGTAGCTCTAATTCCCAAAGGGGGAAATGCTGAATAGCCAAGCTGGGAGAGGAGGAAGAATTCAGATCATTGAGAGACTTCTGTCACTCATCAGAGGAACATTTGCTATAAAGTGTTTCTCTTGTTGCACCACAGGTTTTTATCTAAATCTGCTCATACAAATTCTGCAAGTGCTTCTTCAGTTCTGACACTTCCATCTAGTGAGATATCACTCTTAAAATGAATTCGAAAACAGACACAGCAAAGGCCTTCCTATTAAAACACTAATTCAGGCTCATTAGACAGCTTTACATTATCAACAGATTTGTAGGAAGCAAGAGCACTGGCTGGGGGAAGGGAAGCAGGTGAATTTTTAATACGTTTAAAAACAGAAGTTCTGCAATGTACCATTCCAACTCCTCAAAACAGATAATGTACTGGACACTTTTCTTGACTCTTTAAGTCTCGTGGGCCAATTAACACACAGCTTGATATCTTACTTTGTTTACTTAGGATCAGAATAGAGGTGGAAATCACAGAAATGCTGGAGGTTGGCAGCTGTGCCATGTGGATTCTGGGTCATAGCTGAGTGGAGAAACAAGCATGCAAGCAAACATATTTTTTACATGGATCTGCCCTTGGTTTGGCTGGAAACCAACAGCCACACAAGTCTTCTACACATGAATGAGGTAGCCTTGCAAACAGTTTTACAAAACATACTAGCCCCCTGTACCCAAATGGATTGTAGCTGAAAAGGAAAAAGATCCAGTCTCATTTCCTCATTGCCCTCCTTCACCCCCAGAACCCTGTAATAAACAAAGGTCAGTTTGCCTGTCACTTTGGGCTGCTTTCTTAACCTAACTGAGCTGCCTTGATTGAACAGAAGTCAGGAAGAGCTCACCTGCAGCAACTTCCACCATCATTGGAGCTCCAGAACATGCCATTTGAGTCTCAAAGTCTGTCACCCCAAGAATCTGTGAGCATTCAGGATTTTAAAAACATTTTTTAGGTAACTGAGACCATTTTCTGAAGGCTTCCATTAAACATAGTGCTGTGGTCTGTGGTGGGATCGTGGTCTGACCACAGTAGTAGTAAGAACAAGAAAAAGGCTAGGGAGAGCAAAATTTAACACCTGAACGATCCCTCGGAAAGATGAAGCTGCCATATGCAGTTCTTTATTCTGACACACTTCACAGCAGGCCTCCTTGACTGCTTTGTAAGTAGTGAATTCAATCTAATTTCAGCATCTTTCAAGCTCAGAGGGAGCCGCTACAATAACACTCCAGTATCTTGGTATGCAGAGGCTGTGGACTTTCATCCAGTTTCCTAGGATTACTTGGACACATAACTCAGCTCTCCTGTTTCCTCCGAGATTCTTTTTGAGAAGAGAGATAATTGCTAGCGTTGTTTCTTCTCTCCCTTAGTTTAATTACATACACCAGATGATGATCCTTCTACTGCACCACTTGACAGATTATTCCATTGCCTACTGGATTCAGAAGCCTCAGCCTCATCTCTCCTAATTCCTTTTAAAGTAAGCAGTCCTCTTCCCGCTCTCTAGTGTTTACACTTCTCCAGTTGCGTAGATTGCTACTGTTGTTATTGTGGACATACGCTGGTTCCCTCGGCCTGAAAAGCGAGATGAGCGCCGCACCCCATAGTCACCTTTGACTAGACTTAACCATCCAAGGATCCTTTACTTTTACATTTTTTTACCTTACTGTTGATATTCTAATAAACCGGGGTGGGGAACCTTTGTCAACCCAAGGGCTGCATTCCCCCATGAGCAACCTTCTGGGGTGGAGGCAACTGTCATGTTGTGGGTGGGGCCAGAGGCAAAATGAGGGTGGAGCTACAGCTGTGATTCTTACCTATGGACAGCAGGCTACATTCCAGCCACACAAAAGTAAGGGGTTTCCACACACACACACACCCCTCCATCCTAGAAATCAAGACATTATCACAATTCAGTGACACATTCCACCCAGGCCAAAGCACTTAAGGAGGGTGCAAAGCACGGTTGGTGACCAAAGTGGCCTAGCGAGAGGGATTGTGGCGCGCAAGAGCTGGTGCAAAGGCAATTGAGAAATTCCTGGAGGACAGGATTCTGTGGTGCCTAAAGGGAATCTTCACGTTCAGGGGCAATATGTGCATGACTTCAAGATAGGGATGCAAGAAGGCAGCATTTTCCATTCCTCCCTGTAGCAAGCAGCAATGTTTCCATTCCGCTGCAGTTCATCTTTCACCCCAAAGGACCTTATTCATCTTGCAGTCCGCTGTGGCAAAATTATGTAACTTACGTAACTAATTACATAAATTATGACAATCACATTGTCATTACGATGCACCTCATTTCAATGCAAAGGAAACGTAATGAAATGTAATCGCTTGCTGACTGAAAGCAATACTATTTGTATTCACTGGATTTATTTCATTCTGGACACTGAACAAAGAGGTGAATACCTGCAATTTACATTCCTGTATCCACTTTCATCAGAATTC